ACTCTTGATCAAAAGCCTATTTCATGCTTCTTGTTTGATTTATTGCTCTCGGGTATGAAGATTATAACATCCCAATTTTCAAGGCCAAAAATTTTATTTTTAAATAAGTAATTTATAAACTCGTTTACCAAAAACAATATTGATAACATATCAATCCACATAACCATAATAAAGATGTTTCAAAATCATATCATCAATAGTAATAAAATCAGAGTACAATCCCATGAATCACATAGTGCGGAATCTGGTGTGCGTGTGATGTGCTGCTACTGCATCGGCTCCTTCCCCTTCGCTGAAGAGGTACCTGAAACAAAGATGAAAACTGTAAGCACAAAGCTCATACCACATACCATATAATCACATAGAATACATACTGCCGGGCAATTCTGGGGTGCCCAACCTACCCTGTCCGACCATTCTGGGGTGCCGACCTACCCTCAAGTAGTTATAGGGTGCTGACCTACCCATGTCAAGCAGTTACGGGGTGCTGGCCTACCCTTCGGTCCTAACAACCAAACTTAGGGACTATTCCCCTCTACTACCACTATAACATATAACATATCATGCTAGCACATAAACATACTAGGTAGTAGCAAACCAGAAAAATATAATAAAGGCAATCATCTAAACTATAATCAAATACTAGTGGGCCAACCTTAGTACCTTAGACCCACTTCTACTGGAAGGTAACTCTCCTTAATGTCATGTAGTGTTTGCACTGTCCTTGGTACGGAAATCAACTCGTCTTAACTCCTCAATTCCTACACAACAACTTTCTTGATTACCATTTAATACTCATAACCCCCTTACAAGGGTCAACTCAAGTTCAAGTCAAAGTCAAAGTCAAAACCCTGGTCAAAGTCAACGCCCGGTTGACTTGACTCGCCGAGTTGGTCAAGAGCTCGACGAGTTCTCCTTTAACCAAAACATCGAGACCTTCTTCAACCGACTCGCCGATTTCATCCTTGAACTCGTCAAGTTCGTCTTCATCCGAATGAAGGTGTCTAGTCTATGACTCGCCAAGTTCTCCTTGAACTCGTCGAGTCCATATTCATGGGTTGGGACATTGCCTTGAACTCGCCGAGTTAGTTTATACACTCGCTGAATTCCATGATTTCCAGGTCCCTAATGAGCCTCAACGAATGGGTGCTCTTCTATCTTAACACCCGGCCCCTTAACAGAAAGGGTTTGATGAGAAATACGACCTAACTCGCCGAGTCCCATGAAAGACTCCTCGAGTCACTCTTTGTCCAAAACTATATAACCGATCTCAGTGGGTCTCAAAGCATCCAAAACATAGATATGATCTCCTAGGGTCCATATTATACGTAAAGTTACACACTTGGTGTCCATGCATGGGGTATTTGGCTCTAAAAGCCATGAAAAGAGGTTTATAAGATGCATGGGCCTCCCATAGCCATAAAGTTGGCACCTTTATGCCATGGGAACCCTCAATGGTTCCAGATCTGAAGTATAACTTAATGGTACACACCCAATCCCGAATATGGCCTTACAAAGGCTTAGAAAAGGTAGAGATGAGCCCTAACTAGAGATCTAAGAATTAGATGGTCAAGGTTGAAACTTTTTACCTTGAACGAACTAAGAATGGAGCAAAAACTCTGGACCTTCTTGCTTCTCCTGGAATACTCAAGCTTCTACTTCCTCTTCAAGCTTCAAACCACCACAAGACACACAAAGATGGCTCAAGATCACTCAAAAAAGGTTAGGGTTTCGAATTAGGGTTTCTATGATTTGGGAGGGACGATGGAGGTTGGGTTGGGACAATATAAGTTGTTTAAATAGCGTGCAAACCCTAAATATTAGGGTTTCATCTAAACAACTTCTAGTCATCGAGTCGGTCCCCTAACTCGTCGAGTAGATCACTAAAACCCCTGAATAAAGTCGAGTCTACTCGATGAGTTGGGCCTCTAACTCGCCAAGTTCCAAAGCAAAACATGAAATTACTTGAATTTAAATACGTTACAGGAATCAGACGCTACAAACATCTATTCGACTGTCTATCTCACTCCCGACCACATTTGTATATGTATTTATGATGAGGTTGTCAGTATTAGCACTTACCCCGGATTTGGATATGGAAATGAATAGAATGAAAGACTAGGATGTAGCCTGGAAAGATGTGCAGTGGCAAGAGTGTTAGTGGACGATACGTATGATGATTATGTGTGTGGTATGCATGTTGAAAGGAGAGTTGGCATATCGGCCTTACAACCAATAATTTTTTTTGTATGAACTGTATATATGGTGGATTATTTGGTATACCGAGGAACTCACTAAACTTTACGCGTACAGTTGTGGATTCAATGTATTGCATGTTGCTTGTTTGAAGAGCTCGACGGGAATGTACACTCACATCGAAGATTTTGGTTTCTGCTGTTTTGCAAATCAACGTTGCTAATCTTATGGTTTTCAAACAAATAAATCTCACTTAATGATTGTTGGCAAACAATTTTAATTTGGTAATCTAATTTAAATGAAATATCTCTATTGTAATTTTAGGGACGTTACAGTTCTTGTCAATTGGATTGCTTCAGTAATTGGGTTAATTGTTAATATAAAGCAATCCGCTTTTGTAAAGGGTCATCAAATTCTTGATGGGCCCTTAATGGTAAATGAGGTTTAAAAGAAGAGAAAAAAACTGATGGTGTTCAAGATCGATTTTGAAAAGACTTACGACTCGTTAAATTGGGATTATCTGATGCAAATGTTAGAGTTTATAGGTTTTGGTGTTAAATGGAAAGAGTGGATTCGAGCATGGTTGAACTTGGCTAAAGCGCCTGTGTTAGTTAATGAGAACCCGTCTCAGAAGTTCTGTATCGAGAGAGGTCTTAGGCAATGTGACCCGCTCTCTTTGTATTTGTTCATTATTCGTATGGAAGGATTACATGTGGCTCTTGAAGATGCAAAATTTGCAGAGCTTTTGAGTGGAGTAGTGGTGGGGCCAGATAATCTTATCTTGTCACACCTTCGTGGTGGATGATGTGTTATTTTTGGGTGAATGGTCTAAGATAAATACAGAAAACATGATTATGATGCTTAACTATTTTTACCTTGTGTCGATGTTAAAGATGAACCTTCATAAGTCAAATTTGTATGGTTTGGGGGGTTCAACCTGAAGAAGTGGTCGAGATGGCAAAGATTACTGGTTGTGCCCCGGGTAAGCTTATGTTTCTTTATCTAGGGCTTCTAGTGACTATAAAAATATGGCTCAAGTTCAAAGTTGATAGAGCATTTTTGATTGATTTAAGAAGAAGCTTTCTTCTTGGAAAGTTGAAATGTTCTTCATAGGGGGTCGTCTATGATACTTTCATCTTTCCTTGGATCACTGAGAATTTATTTAATGTCCTTGTTTTTTTATGCCGAATCAAGTAAAAAAAAGATGTTGGAATCGCTTAGGGCTCACTTTTTTTGGGTTTTGAAGATAGTTCGCAAGATACATTGGGTAGCTTGGGATTTAGTGATTGCTTCAAAGGATCAGGGTGGTGTGGGGATCAGAAGTCTGAAATGTTTTAATTACTCCATGTTACAAAAATGGAGATGGTGGTTTCTTATAAAACATGATGCACTATGGGTAGAAGTTATAAAAGCTTTGCATGTGAGTTGTTTTTTCTTGAATTTGGTGTTACTAACCGCGGGGATGGGGTTAGGAAATCGTATTTTGAAGTCTTTGTGTGTTGTGCATGAAAAAAGGGTGATTCCTTTTCTACTACTTTTTGAAATGTGGGAGACCACATTACTACATATTTTTGGAAGGATACATGGTATGGTGGAATCCCTTTGACCTTTTGGTTTCAAACTCTCTTCCAACTTGAACATAACCTTTTTTGTTTAGTTAGGGATCAATGTAGTGATGATCAATGTGTTTGTGATTAGTCTCGCGAGCTTGTTGTTGGATTCAAGACTTCTCGATTTAGCGTGCTCACATATCTTGTAGCGGGATATCGGTTGGGAATGGGTGTTGATAGATGGCGGTGGGACTTGGTTGATAATGGTAAGTTTCCGGTCAAAAGTACTAGAAGGCATATGAAACAATGAATGTTGCTCGATGTTAAGAGTAACATGATTTGGAATGTTTACCTTCCTAGGAAGGTTAACATTTTTACATGGTGTTTGCTTATGGGTCGTCTTCCGCTTAGAACGAACCTTCCTACTAGAGGTGTTGATGTTACAATGATTCTCTGTCCGGTTTGCTGGTTGGAGACGGAAAACTTACAACACTTGTTTGGGGATTGTGAGATAGCGGCACTTACTTGGGCTATTGTTGCTAGGTGGTTGGATGTCCTGTTACCTTTGCAATTATTTGATTCAGGGCTTTTGCCTTAACCAGATTCTGTAGCTATTACCAAAATAAAGAAAAATGGTGATTCAAGCGGTTGTCCAATTGTCCAAATGACCCACCCCTGAGAAGGTGAAGGTACACGAATGATGTAGTTTTTGGTAACACGATTTGTCGAGCTTATCTATCATTTAGTGGTAGATTATTTGTTTTTTTTGGTTTTCTTGTAGAAATAGAAAATCTTATATTTCTTGGACCGGATGGTTACAAAACCCTTTACTTTTCATGTATTTTTTCCCTCTTATTACTAATTCCTTTTTAATAAAATTCAACTATTAAAAAAAATGGATCACATTTAGAGCTCGCTTTATTCCTTGTAATTTGTAATCTCCAAAAAGATTGGATACCTCCGGGTGTTGAGGAGATAAAATGGTTATATCAAAGATGTTGACAGAGTTTCCACACTACAGCTTCGGGATTTCCACTCCATTATATAGGCTTGCAAATTGCGATCCTTATTTATGTTGATATTTGAGTCATGACTATATTTGATTTTCAGGGTATTTTATGTATGACGCTCACCTTTATTTTAATCTGAAGAGTATTTTAAACATGTTTTTTTATGGTTTGAAGCGCCAAGGCAAACCAAACCAAAACTAGCTACACTGGAAATGGACAATAACCAGTTAAGCTTTCTATGAAACTCATAAGGCTCAATTATATATCCATAATAATATAATCCCATCAACATAATCATCATAATCCACATACTAGACTGCATACAAGATACCATTCCCTGATTCCTACCAAGTCACCAAAAAACTACAGAAAATTTAAAATTAACATACAATACGATAGAAAGGATACCTTGTTCTATGTCATCATCATCATCATCATCATCATCATAATAAAAGGCTTTTCAAAACACGCAAAAGCAGAGACATGATTCAACTTGATTTTTTGGGTTTCTTGTTGCTGCCACCTGGACTTTTCTTCTCAATATGTTCAGGAATGGTATCACTCATTACCTTTGGAGATGTGAAGCAGAAATCAGTTGCTGAGATATCACTGTATTCCGGGTGTTCTTTAAGATATGTGATGATTCCAGGAGCTGCTCTTATCCTTGTTCCATCAGGTGTCACATACTGCACATCCATTTTAGAGTAATCTCTTCTCAGAATAATTATTCTTTGAAAACCTTTTGGGGTTTTTGGGATGTTGGGTTTATCCATCACCCATGTTCTTGAGGAATCGTATTCAATGTCAGCAGGGCTATCACATTCGATTCCTTCCAGTTTTTTGCACACAAATGGATCTTCACTCTGCTTGCTTCTGTACTCTTCAAACTCTTCTTCTGTTGTCAATGTCCTCCATTTGAAACACTCGTTACATTGCACAGCAAATGTGTCAACAGAACTCTGAGGTGGGCCCCTCACTCTCTGCATAACACCCACATCAATCTTGAAAACAATTTATATACAAAAAACTTTCAGATAAAACGAAATCATCTTCAAAACCCTACATATGAAGAAAGAACCTGATACAAATTTACTTGCAGATAATGTGTAGTTTCCAGCTGTAGACTCGTTACAGAAGCCGTTTAGTAAGTAAGCAACACAAAGATAACACTAAAACACTAAGCATTACACCAAGAAAAGAAATTGAAGACCATGCTGTTTGACACACACTACAAGAACACAAGGCATTTAGTCCCAACCTGGTGTTTTTCATGTGCAGAATTGACACAAGCTTAATAAAAATCGCATATCAAGCTAATCTATCAGAGTTCCATGTATTCAGCACACAAGATACAGAAAAACAGCGGACAATTTTTTTTATTGGTGGTAGGGCCATAGATTGAGCAACGGGGAAGAATTACTTCAAACTAAAAAACGTATCATAATCTCAATGAGGAAAAACGCAGATCGGATTAAGGAAAATGTACAACATGTAACAGGTACACATAAAACCCTAAAATCGCTTGAAAACCCTAAAAAGGAGATGAAAGACGTATTATGCTTCGTGTTTATCAGAATTATAAAACAATGAAGCCATGATCGCAACAAACTCAAATAAATTGGGGTTTTAGTTAACCTTAGCCGACGATTTCGGACTCTTCTTCACCGCCGACGAGCCATTCGCAGAACCTTTCTCCATGTTTCTGTTTCTCAGAGTAGCTCTCAGTCTCCCGCACGTGTGTCCCGTCGTGAAGTGGGTCGCATCCGCAGCTCCACCTAAACTTATACTTTATATGGCCGGGGCATCTATCTAATTTCCATTTGAACACAACTCGACTATATTTATTATTTATTACCCCTAAACCACATTATATTTGTTAAAGCTTTAAAAAACGATCCTTTTCGAACTTCGAATCTTAATAGTTAAATAGTTTTAATTTATGAATTATGTTTGCTGTGAGCATTCAAGCTCTTAAATCAACCACTAGACCGCTATTTAAGTTAATGACACCATACACTTTAACAATGTTTTGAAAAAGCCTAATTGTATAAACTATATTTAGATTGAATACTAACCGAAAAGTTAGTTGATAACTAAAAAGCTAAGTACTCTTTTGCATTGCATTTCAATAATAAACCATGCATTTACTTGTTTTAGGCATGAATTTTGGCACGTTTCATATCCACATTTTTTTTTATGTCATTTCAGGTGGTTCCGAAGGTTGGAGGTAATTTGTAATGATGAAAAAGGATCCGATGTAGATTTTTGAAAATTTTGGAGTGAAAACGTGGAAATTGAGTTTTTATCACGGAAGGCTTCACACGGGTCATGTGAGTTTGTGCTTTAAAATCCACACGGGTCATCACACTTAACACGAGTTGTGTCAACCTAGCACAATTTGACACGAGGTTGTGTCAATGCATATTTTCGCCATTTTTAGCAACAAACTTTCGGGTCAAAAGAAGGCAACGTACTTTGAAGCCACATATGGTGGTGTCAATATAGCCATATTTGACATAGTGTTGTGTGAGACGCGTAACTGCCTTTTGGCAAAAAAAAAAATTATGACCTAATTTTGGACTTTTAACCATTACGTACATTATCTCTCATTCTAGACGGCCAATGGACGATTTTTGAAGAAGGGTTTTAGCTATTAACTTTTAGGAGATCATTTGGAAACATTTAATTTCATCTTTGTAAGCCACTTTAGTACTTTCATTTCATTTCTAGGATTGATGATTTTGTTCTAGTCATATGTGGCTAGAACCCTAGTTTTTCCAATTCTATGTCTTGACTTATTGTTTGTGGTTTAATCATATGAATTCATGTTTCTGTTCAATTTCTGTGAATTCGATTTTGTTTCAACAAAGAGTTTGATTTTAATTTTGAATCTTATTGGACATTTAAATTAGGATTAGATCATTCAAGTTATCCAAGTTGCAAAATCCATAATTGTTTTGTGAATTAGACATAGTAACAAACACTAAATTGGTTTCCAATGAATGAATTTAATGCAAATCTTATTCACACGTTCTTCTTCCCCCCCCCCCCCCCCCCCCCCAACCCCAACCCCAAACTTATGAGGAGCATTAAGTGTTATTGGGAACATTCATGTAAAGTTTATTGTAATCATTTGATTTATTTCTAAGAGCTTATTTAGATTTGAATTAAATGATTAGGTTAGTTTTAAAGAGCTTGTTTTAAATCTAATAATTTGGTGAATAGGAAGTGTTACAGATTGTTAACACTTCCAAGTACCAACTTGGATATAATCGAGTGAATGTTATTTCATAATTGAATTACTTTAACAAGACAGTCAAACATAGAGTTGAAATTTTTACAAATATGAATTCTTTTACAACACGTTATTTCTTTAGTTGTCTTTTCAAATCTTGCAAACAAATCCCTACTTTGTATCTTGTGTAAAAAGGCATAAGTAATTGTCTCGTATCTCTGAGGATTGACGCTGCTTCCTTATATTACTTTCTAGTGCATATTAACAGTGTATTTAGAGTCATTTTGTACCCATATTATTTGTTGGGTTTGACACCCTAACAAATTGATACCATTGTCAGGGACACGGTGTTACTAATTGTGTATGACTAGATCTTCTTGTACAAGTAGACCATTAGTTATTGATATGGAGATAGAGAAGACAACAAAGAGGTTGTGGGAGAAGCAATTAGATTTCAAGACTTCTTCGTCATCCACCCCTCCGGTCATTAACATTTGGGGGGACATGTGACATCTCCTGTTTTCTAGAACTGAAAAAAAATTCTTTACGCTTTTAAAATTCATGACATCTTTATTTGCTAAAAATCCCAGTACATTAAAACATTTGAGTACAAATGATTGTCTCAAAATAATGAAACTCTAAGGATGTCATAATCAATAAACAACATATGCTACAACGTAAAGACCTAACGGTCCTGAACATTATTGTGTCTTCTCTTCAATCACTCGGTATCATATTCAAGTCTTCAGCGTCTTATCATCGTTACCTATGATGCATATAAACTGAGTGAGTCAGATTGGAAAACATGGTGAGATACATAGGGATTTCAACCTCACAATGTTATTATAATAAGAATCAATTAACGTGCAAAACCAACTTTTCTCATACACTTTGGAAATATAATCCAATGAGGACATCTATAAACAATGTACCCATATATGCCCCGCCTAGTCGATTCTCACGAATCCAAATTAACGATCATCTAGAAGAATCATCTTACCTGACGAATGGTTTAAAGCAACTATTTGACTATACAACTAGGGGATTAATTGGTCGGTGTAAGTCATAAAAGACAACCTTGAGAAGAATGGAGTACACTAATGAACACACAATCCAAACGCCTTGAATAGTATGATTCATCAACACCTATAGGTAATGAGTCTGCTAGTGTACCCCAACACAAGTAGCAGATGAGAAATTGTAACATACATAAAATATGGTCCCGAAAATTTCATTTTTAATTATTAAATAAAACCATAGTTAACAAAACATCTGCTCAAAACATAAATCAAAGTATCCAAAACATCATAATCAGAGTATCCATATAAAAAACATCAGAGTAAACATAATATGCTAAAACATCATGGTGTGTGCAATGAAGTCATCCCAAGTTATTCCCTTTGCTACCACAAAGTACCTGAAACCAAAACTAAAAACCGTAAACAAAACATCTTAACACTTTTCTGATGCAAAGCTGAACGCTACAGGACCAACTGTAGTCTTTCCTCATACCTGATCTCTCGTGACCTACCAATTCCTGTTTCCAGCATGTTGTGGCCCTCCTACAGTCTTGCAAATTGACCCTCCTTGGTCTATATCATTTGAATAAATCCGTGAGCAAGTCACAGATCTACCACAATCTCATCGCTGAATAGGGACCGGTGAGTGCTACGGGCCACCCCGCAGTCTTACCACACTCCCACACCGACTAACCACTAGTGAATGCTACGGTCATCCCTGTAGTCTTACAACACTTCTAATGTTATTTGATCGCTAGTGAATGCTACGTGCCACCCCGCAGTCTTACAACACTTCTACACTAACTGCTAACTAGTGAATGCTACGGGCCACCCTACGGTCTTACAACACTTCCACACTAACTGCTAACTAGTGAATGCTACGGGCCACCCCGCAGTCTTACAACACTTCTCATGCTATCTGACCGTTAGTGAATGCTACGGGCCACCCCATAGTCTTATAACACTTGTACACTAACTGCTAACTAGTGAATGCTATGAGCCACCCCGCAGTCTTACAACACTTCCACTTACATAATTGCAACCCAATGCCTTACCACCAATCTATCAATTCGAACACTCCTAGAGTTAGGCATACACTCGACCAAACACCCAAGCATAACTCGAGCTATGCCTGGGACCCCAACCTATTTCCCCGAAGCCTACTATCAATCACCAAGAGAATGCGATCTCAATGCTGGTAAGCTTCCTTGACTTTAAACTCACACAATCCTCAATCCTAACAACCACTTAGGCCGCCTTCCTTCCTAATGGGGATGTGAAACTCATCCAAGCTTCTAAACCACTCCTGTTCCTGAATGATTCTCCCCCAATTTGATTTGACTAAATTCTAACAGCATACGAGAATTGAAGAATTCCTAATCCTTCTTACTTTCCAACGATCGATCCGATGACAACCAACGCTTACCAACTAGTGCTCCATCACAAGCCAATCCTAAAATATTATGTAACCCCTAAAGACTAGAAGAACACTTTCCAAATTATAGCGAAATTGATAACTCTCGATGCCTAGAAAGAATACCATACTTAAATCTTGAAGTCCAATTAACCGATGCCTAGACCAAAACCTCCGCAGTAGACCACTTTTCTTGGCACTTCCATCAGTCAATCAATAACGATTACTAAAACCACCAAATCATGACGATGCTGAAAAATCATCCTATGGAACCCTGACCACAGACCTTTAACATAATACCCCTGAACCGATCTCGACCATAAACCAAGATAATATTGAACACTCCCAACCCGCGAATAGGGAAATGACCTTTTGTTAACCACTAAAAAGTCACGACATGAAAATGACATATGAAATCACTTGAAGATATAACCCAAACACGAGCAGGGAAACAAACCCAGAGATACACTTACCCAAACTCTTGGGACGAAAAACTCCATCGAGTAGTTTCCCACAAGTGTTGCACTGAATCTGACCCTGCTGGTCTCTCAAAAGCTGATTTGAAATCTTGGGTCTCTTCCTGGGACCCTCCAATATATGTACCTGATCTTGTCCCCTCTTCCTAATGTGCTCCAAATCAATCTCCCGCTCTCGAGCTCTAGAAATCCTATCATTCATGGTCTCGTACGCCGAGATACATACGATCTCCCTGATATCATCCTGGTGTATATCATTGATGTGCACGAAAGTACCCACTAATTTTATAATTTATAACCTAACTTAATTAACTAAAATGCACCTAGGCAGTGTACCTAGTCGAATTATAGAATAGTTTGGTAAGTCGGGTGTCGATCACAGGGAACGGTGTTGACTAATTAATTTATTTACTACTAAACTAACCTAATTACTAGCAAAGGAAAAGGTTTTATCTAATTTTTCAAGTTTAGATTAACTTAATTCTTTAACAAAAACTCAATCAATAAACAAACACTTCTGTTAGTTCGAATCCGCTTTCACTCAATGGTTATACATTAGCTTTAACTATTATTGTTGGTTACCCATTAAATGAGTATTAGCAATTTAGTTCTAAATATACTAAATATTAATCAATTCATATAAATCTATGTATGGTCAGACAATAGTTAACACAAAATCAATTATTAGATAAGATTG